CTACAACCAACACTGCAGCCCCGATGACGCCCTCCCAGAAGATGAAGAAGATCCGGGCCGGCGAGCTAAGTCCCAGCATGCAGCAGCGCACGGATCGTCCGGCAAAGGACTCCAGCAAATCGGAGCTGCAGCTGGCTCGCGAACAGCTTCACGTGTCTGTGGTGCCGAAAAGCCTGCCTTGCCGCGAACGGGAGTTTGAGAACATCTACGCCTTTCTGGAGGGCAAGATCCAGGACCAGTGCGGCGGCTGCATGTATGTGTCTGGCGTTCCGGGAACTGGCAAAACAGCCACTGTGACCGGAGTCATTCGCACCCTGCAGCGGCAGGCAAATCAGAATGAGCTGCCCGCCTTCGAATTTCTAGAGATCAACGGCATGCGGTTGACAGAGCCGCGTCAGGCCTACGTGCAGATCTACAAACAGCTCACGGGCAAGACTGTATCCTGGGAACAGGCACACTCCTTGCTGGAGAAGCGATTCACAACTCCGGCACCGCGTAGGGTTACCACTGTATTACTGGTCGATGAGCTGGATATCTTGTGCAACCGGCGCCAGGATGTCGTCTATAACCTGCTCGATTGGCCCACCAAGTCGGCGGCCAAACTGGTTGTTGTCACCATCGCCAACACCATGGATTTGCCTGAGCGCCTGCTAATGGGTAAGTGTTACTTTCCAAACAGGAAAAGTCCCTCCTTTAACACCTTTATATCTTTTTAGGTAAAGTCACCTCTCGTCTTGGACTCACCCGACTCACTTTCCAACCGTACAGCCACAAACAGCTGCAGGAGATCGTCACAGCCCGCTTGGCAGGATCGGAGGCTTTTAAGGGCGAGGCCGTACAGCTCGTGGCCCGCAAGGTGGCCGCCGTATCCGGTGATGCTCGCCGAGCTCTGGACATTTGTCGGCGGGCCACAGAAGTCGCTGATACCGCTCAGGTCAAGTGCGTGACCATGCTGCACGTGCAGCAGGCATTGGCCGAGATGATAGCTAGTGCCAAGGTGCAGGCTATCAAGAACTGTTCGCGACTGGAGCAGATCTTTCTGCAGGCGGTGGCATCAGAAGTTACGCGCACTGGTGTCGAAGAGACAACCTTCATGGGCGTTTACCAGCAGGTGGAGACGATAGCCGCCTTCATGGGTGTGACCTTACCACCACCAGGACGTGCTCTTCGCTTGTGCGCTAAACTGGGTGCCGAGCGACTCATCATAAGCGAGCACTCCCGTAATGATCTCTTTCAGAAAATTCTGCTCAACGTCAGCGCTGATGACATTCACTACGCGCTCCGAGTTGGAGAGGTTGCCCACTGAAAGAGTATCATAAAACTAAAAGGGGTGGAAAGGCATTAAAAATTCATAGGAAATTTTACAAAATCAAGATGGTTTGATCTATCAAATTTAAACTTTTTCGCCCTCTCATTTTTAAATAATCAATTATTAGTTATACATCCACAACATTGTAATAGATTAAGCGTTTTTAAATTATTTCTTATTTAAGCGTCATGTTTAAACAATTTAAAGTACAAACTCGTTACTAAAAATACCAAATAGAACACCAGCACAGTGTAACAGTCGTAAAGTACTTTGGGGGAGAAGACGGAATAGATGAAGAGGTGGTAGCGGAAGCCGAGCATCAGGCAGAGGTAGAAGGCCGCCGGCAGCATGATCAGTGCGGCGTACAGCGGAGCTATCAGCGAATCTGCGGCTATGGAATAAGGCGGCTGCAGCTGCATGATGCCCACACTGCGCAGATCCGAGCGCAACGTATGGACAACTAAGTAGAGGAATGCATGAATCTCAGCACTGTAAGTGTTGAGGGTGACGAAGAGGGCCACAATCGAAGGGTTGTAGCTAGTCTGCCCAATGTATCCCGGCGTCAGGTCAATGGTGGACAAGCTGTTCGAGTTGCCCTGGTAGAAGAAGAACATCCTGGCCAGGAAAATGGTCATGATTATCTTGTACACATGCACCAACCGCACGGAGAACTTTCGAGCACTGGTGCCGAAAACATCGCACAGCTTATAGGTTTGCTGCAGGGCTACGAGGAGTACGGGCAACAGTAGGATGTTTTGCACCTTTTGCAGAAGAGCTGCTAGCAGCAGGGAGCTGCTCAGGTTAGTCTGGAGCAGCTGCAACAACACACTCGTGGGCGGCACATCCCCGAAGCTATGCGTTTGAGGCAGCGCCGCCCGATAGCCCAGCACTAGAACCAATGCCAAACAGCACCAAAAGACCACCAGCGTGGGCACCATAAGCTTTGCACTGGAATTTAAGAAAGATTTTAGTTAAGGTCAATTTTATGTATACCGATTTAAACCTACGCCATATGCGGAGGCACCTCGAAGAAGTGCACCTGTCCGTTTAGCCCGCGAAAGCAGTAAACCATAAACAAAGCTGCTCCACTGGCCACCGACTGCGGCAACTGGCTGTGGCGATGCAGACGCGCCCAGAGCAACAGCAGTGAGAATATCATGATGGTGCTCCGAATCGCCTGCAGCCTGTGGATGTAACGCATCAAGGTGAGCATCATAAGCATCACAAACACTTTTCGCATTTGCCATAGACACGTTGATGCAATGGTGTACAGATGGCGGCCATCTAGTTCGACGTTGGTTTTGGTGATGCGCCGTCGCAGCGTTCGGAATGCTGTCAGCAGGATAAGGGAATTACCCAGGTAATACCAGGTCTTGTATTCGTACTCAATAAACGAAGAGGAACCGAGAGTTAAGGTGCGAATAGCGAAACAAGCTAGCAGAGGTAGTGGCAATGGAATGGAGATCCTTAGGCGACGTGTGTATATCGGAGGCAATGCAATCTTGAGCAGCGCCTGCGCCACATCGATTGTAAGATAAACAGCGATGGATATGGGTACCACTAGCAAAATGCTATGGAACGTTGAACTGGTCAGGATGATATCCAGTGCATGACTAGTCACATTTAGGAGTACAGCGGCAATCACAGAAACCAGCAGTTGTCCCGATTTCAAATTGTCCAGCTGAAGCTGTTCTGTGAGATCCAAGTACAAGACACTGAGCACGATATGGAGGGATGACTGCAAGATCAGGGCGACTATAATATTACGAAGACTTTAAAGCTAATTGATGAACTCACCGCTGTGGTCAAAGCTAGTCCTAAGGCTATAAATCCGTAATCAAATTTTACCAGGGACTCGGAGAGCAGACTGGAAATTTCGCGAGCCACCCGCATATAATTTAGCTTGGCGTTCTGGTAGTAAACCTGACTGGCTCCACCTCCCCCACCCTCTCTCAAAGGATGCAGCAGCTTCTTATGCAAAAGGGTGGCATTCTGATACCAGGTATAGTAATCTGGAGGACCAATAAACAATAGATCATAGAAATCAGCTCAGTACAATCTTCTTCTCACCACTACGATGAACTCTGTCGTGGCCAAACTTCACTCGCGCCTTGTTGAGCAAGTGGTGGGCATTATAGAAGTAAGCGTACATCTGGTGTTCCAAGGACAACGATTGCAGCATCTCTGGTATCAGGCAGCCAATGGAAAGAGTAGGTATCTCAACAGACAGAAGCACGGAAAGAGTGGGGGCCAAGTCAATTTGGTTGTACCGCTTTTTGCTGGACCTATAATGGGTAAAATAAATGCATATAAGGTATATATTCTCCAGTTTAGTTTTAAAGGCTTACGCGGTCTTGCTGCAGTTGTTGGAATACAAATATAGGGGCACAGTAGTTTCAACCGGTGTATTTCCGCCATGTCCTCCACCATCGGCCATTCCATGATCCCCAGTCAGCATGAGCAAATAGTTGGGGAAATTCTGTAGGAAGAATGTTTTATTCACCTTTTATCAATATATAGATATTTAGGGTTTTAACGCACCTTGTGATCTAAGATCTTCTGCAACGCCTCATCCATTTCCTTAAGCTTGGGGGGCACCCTGGGACTGGCACTGCCTTCGACATGGCCGATGTGATCCAGCCCCAGATAGTGTAGAATCAGTAGGGACCAGTCACTCCGCTCCAGCTCGGTCTCTAGAGTTTTGGTCACATTTCTATCACCTTCATAGAAGTCATTTACGTAAAAGGAGTCATGGTTCTCGGCATGTCGAGTGAACTCGCTGGGAAAGAGCCTAACCCAGGTGTGGTCACCGGCAAAGGAGACAACCTTATTCCGCTTGTTCAGGCGGTGCAGTAAGGAGTCCTGCAGCTGCTCCGTGTGGCCAACATTTAGGGCAATGTCGATGAAGTTCGAAAGTGTGCCAGTGGTGATGCTCTTCAGGCGTGGCATCGTCACCGTCGGTATGTCCACATGGAGGGTGAGCTTTTCGCAGGCTCTGGAATGAGCCACCGGCATGGACGTGGCATTGGGAAAATCGTCGCGCAGCGCATCGATTAGGAACAGTATGAAGGAGTCGTGGGCCGGTGGCGGTGGCGTCAGTCTGAAAAGAGTTAACGAGTGTTATCGGAGCCCTAATCACACGCTACCATCAGCTCTGGAACTCACTCTACGCCGTGCAATGTGGTCGGCCTGCCTTCAGGCACGGTGTTTTGGTCCTCGGCCACCGAGTAGGAGGCCGGAAAGAACCCGATCAGAAAGAACACGGCGCCGCCGAGGAACAGCGTGAGCATGCCGATGGTGTAAACCAGCCGACTTTTGTGCTGCTCCATCTTCTTGTTTTCATCGAAAGTTTCGCGCTCCACAAAAAACCACAACACCGAAAATTTACCGCCTGTCAGCTGGAAGCAAAATGTAAACACTAGTCAATCGATAAATGCAGAATGCTATCGATAAGCGATTTGGGAATGTTCCATGGGCGTAGAAGGTAACCCCTTTTTGGATTGTCTTAATTTGCAATTTAAAGATTTACAAATTAACAAAATAATTACAATCCACTTGGTCAGCCTCCTACTCTACAGATAAATAAATTATTATAACTTTCCCGACGCCCCTACACTATTTCTAACTACGCCCATGGCCTCTTCTTGGTAGCGATACAAACAAGTCTTTGATTTCTTGCTCCGAACTTAAAATGGAAACCTGCGGCCTTATTTGTGTGAGCGGGGACTACGAGAAGTTCCTGATGCGCTGCTCTCACTGCCCCACGGATGTGGAGGTGGCCCAGTGGCAGGAGTTCGTTCTGCACATCCGGAATATGCACAGTAATGTGGGGCTCATCCAAGACGAGATCATCGAAAGTGAGAAAGCTATGGATGAAGGTGATGTGGACTCTGTGGAGTTGGAGTCAGCAGAGGAGAACCAATCGGAAGAAGAAGACGAAGTGAATGCCGAGGAAGAGGAATCGGAGGGGGAAGCCAATGAGGGAGTTGAAAGAGAGGCAGTTGGTTCATCGATGGACGCGACAGAGTACTCTAATCCTTCCGAAGCTTCAGATTTCGAAGAATCCGACGAGGAGGAGGAACCTAGAAAATTTCCTTTCAAGAAGGAGAATGCGCCCGCATATAAGGTATCCCCACTTGTAATAAACGTAAATGCTTTAAACTAATCTCAGTCTTTGGCATCAGTTTAATCCATCCTTCTTCCGGCTGGATCCCCGAACGCCGAAGCTTATAGAGATCTACAAAGGACATCCGTGTCTGTGGGATCCGGCCCACAGCGACTACAAGGAACCCAGGAAATGCAAGGAAGCCCTGAAGCAGATAATTGCTGACTTGGAGGCGACGGTGGCCATTTTCTTGAACGAGATATCCCTGAGGATGGCCATCAAGAAGATTCACGTGCAGTTCAATACTGTCCACAAACGAGTGCTCTCTGGAAAACAAAAACCTCACTCGTTGCCCTTCAAGATTTATACTTTATGCAGCTTTCTGATGGCTAGCATGGAGGAGGAGGAGGAGACTAACAAAACTGAAAAGATCAAGGCAAGAATTTTAGATTGATTAAATTTGGAACAGTTAAGAACTTAACCTTTTTAACAGCTCGATTTCTCCGAAAAAAACAAGCTCACCACCGACCTGATAGAGATGTATGCCAATTTTCCGCAGCTGTATGACTCCACGCACAAGGATTTCTCTAACATGAACTCCCGAAAACAGGCCTACGAGAGCATGGCAGCGAAAATCTCAGTGCCCAATGAGGACATCTCCACCGATGACATCATTCGCGCCATCCAGATTCTACGCCAGTGGTACTACAGGACCACCAAGCATCCCATTAATGCTGGAGGCGGGGCTGAACAGTTCTATCTGGAGGTCTGCCAGTTCATGCCTCCCAAGATGTTCAAGCAGCGGTTGGTCTGCGAGTATTGCAACCAAGGCACGTCGTCGGATTACGTCCTGCAGGCACACATTTTCAAGGAGCACAACATTGGCGAGTTACCATTTAAGTGCTCGCTATGCGACCGGAGTTTTGCGGGACGTGCCGAATTGACGACTCACGTTCAAAGGGTCCACATCGGCAAGACGCGCAAGTGCACCCACTGCGAGATGGCGTTCTCTGTTATTTCGGACCTACGGCTGCACATCCGCACGCATACGGGCCACAAACCATACATCTGCGAGCACTGCGGCAAGGCATTCCGGCTCAGGTCCCAAATGACGCTCCATGTTACGGCCATTCACAAAAAGCTCAGGGCCTTCAAGTGCACCATGTGCCCCAAGGACTTTGTGAAAAAGGTGCACCTTACGGACCACATCAAGGGCCATTTGAACATCCGCGACAAAATCTGCGGCGTGTGCGGCAAGGGTTTCACCAGCGGCCATTCCCTGATACGCCATCGGCAGATCCATTCGGAGGTGAAGAAGTTCGTCTGCAAAGTCTGCGACGCCAGATTCTCGCAGTTTGTGGGTCTCAATAGCCACATGAAGCGCACGCACAACATAGTTCGCAACAACAACAACTCGCAAAAGGCAAAAGAGGAAGTGGAATCCGATCACTAAATTCGGTTAAATACATTTCAATAAAGAAAAAGAGTATTTGGCAGGGAAGCTTGAGATTTGCGCGTAGTTTAAAAGCTTTATTTTTGAAAACTTTACAAAAGGTTAAGCCACTTAAATGTAGCTTTTCTAAAAATGTATTTTGAATTTTAATTTAACATGGCTTAAATAATGTTAAATCAAAAAATTTCTTCTTTGATTATTAAGAGTTTCTCCTATTGAAAATGTGTTCTGGTTCTTTGATTAGCTCGCGATGTACAAAAATATAGAATTACAAGTATTTGAAAATTAGTACTTTAAAAAGTTCACTATAACATTTATTATCAAGCCCAGGGAAATTGTTTTTAAATATTAATTTAAATAAAATATTTCGATAGGCGTCGTTACTTTTTACGATAGACAATCCGATAGATACGTAGTTGATAACTTTCCGTGGCTTCCAACACTGCCCCGAACGCTCAACATTTCTATCGTCGTAAATAAACTATTTCGCCAAAAAAAGGCATTCTGATCTGAGATTGAAACAGGGGCCACAACCTTACCATGGAGGTGTGTGGCAGTGTGCTTACCAACTCCAAGTACGAGTCGTTCCGGCTGAAGTGCATCTACTGCACGATAGAGAGCGAGCTGAAAGATTGGGAGCTGTTCATCGTCCATGTGAAGACGGCCCACTACTGCGAGGAGGAGGACATCAAGAACGTCGAAGTCACACACGACTCCCCGGAGCTCTACGTAGCCGTCGATGCCTCGGAACCCGCAATAGCCTATGGTCCGGATGACTTCTTTGAGGTGATCGAGAACATCAATGCAGAGGACCAATGGATGATAACGGATGGCAACGTGCGGCCCTTAGATTGCCATTCAAACGTTACCCTAGTAATTGGCGGTTTCTTATGTCTTTTATAGGATCAACAGTATGAGGAAGACGCCACCGCTTGGTCGGAACCCACAGCTGATTTCTCCGAGTACCAACCAGATGGCAATTCGTCTGAAGTCCCCACCACAAATGAAAACACACAAATGGACGACTCATCCCAGAATCACATACCCTTAAACACAGATGAAGATGACGGCGAGTGCAGCGATTTTTACATGTCTGAGGATGACTTAGCACCCAAAAGGAGGAGACCTGGACGGCCGCCCAGACGAACCAGGCCTGGACAGGTTTTCAAGGTAAATACGAAAATCGATTCATCTGGCCATCTTTGAAGTAATCGGGATCCTTTCAGTTTAAAGTGTCGTTTATACGAAGCAACCCCCGTGTGCTGCACTTGATTCATGCTTATAGAGAGCATCCGTGCCTGTGGGATCCCTCGGATAAAAACTACGAAGACGAGTTGGCGCGAAATATTGCCTATGAGGCAATAATGGTACGCATGGATAACAGGGCTAATGTTCTCTTCACCTTGGAAGAACTAAAGAAAACCATCGAGCAGCTGCACATCCAGTACGCGCTCGCCTTGGAGACAAAAGAAAAGGGCAAGCTGGTGGGCCTTGCGGCTCGTTATTTCGCCAAGTGCGATTACCTCAGTGTGTCGCCCATCGTAACTCCCAAGGAGAACGAGGAGGACGAGGATTTGACTGTAATTAAGGTTATATCAACTCAACTTGCATTTGTATTATTTCTAAATAATCCCTTTGCATTGCAGCTTAACTTTAAAGAGGAAAACCTGATCACCAGCTCATTCATAGAGACCTACGCCAACTATCCCGGGCTCTACAACTCCGCGCTGTCGGACTTTACTTCGGTGGAGGCACGCGCAAATGCCTACAGACGGATGGCCAAGGAATTTCAGCCCGTTGTAAAGGCCAATGAGACGGACGTTTACATTGCAGTTAACAAGCTGCGCCGCTGGCTGTACAATGCTATGAGGCGCCTCAAGTCCAAGGAGCTGATTCAGAAGTGCACCCCGCAAGAGGTTCAGTATCTGCGAATGTGCAGCTTCCTGCCCGCCAAGGGCTCCGAGAGCCAGGTGCTGTACTGTGATTACTGCGAGAAACGTTTCCACGGCGACTACAACCTGCGGGTGCACATCTTCAAGGCGCACCAGGTGGGCGACCTGCCATACCTCTGCTCCCTCTGTCCGAGGCGCTTCGACCGCCAGGTGGACATGGACAGGCACAAGCTGCGCTCGCATTTCGAACGAAAGCTAAGGTGTGAATACTGCAACAAAAGCTTCGCCGTGGACAATGACTTAAAAGTGCACACGCTTATCCACACAGGCGAGAGGCCGCACGTCTGCGACATCTGCGGCAAGGCATTCCGGCTCAAGCTGCTCCTGGACCACCACGTCAATGGCGTCCACCTAAACATACGGCCCTACAGCTGCGATATGTGTAACAAGACCTTCCGCAAGAAGTTCGAGCTGGCCAACCATATCAAGGGCCATTTGAATATCCGTGATAAGAAGTGCGAGTACTGTGACGCCTCGTTCTACGATCATTCGTCGCTTTCCAGACATCGCCGTGTTCATAAGATGGGAATGAGTTGAGCATCAGTTGAATGCATTATTAATCGGTTCAAAGCATTCAGAGGTGGTTCGTGAAATTAACATTACCTACAAAAATGTATCAGGAATTTCGACATATTTCATATAAGTTTTATTTTAAAATTTCCTTATACATATGTATGTATGTATAACCTGAAGTATCATTTTATATGTCTTAAAAACATTAAGCAAGTGTTTATTTACATAATGAAGATATGATAATCAATTATTTAATTTAATAATAAGCTATAACCTTAGAACTCGTTTTTGTCAAAATAAAATTCATTTTTATTTGAAGTAAAAGTAATTTTTTTTTAAATATGTTTTGGATACCATACATCTATGGAATTTCCCCGAGTGATTGCCCAACACTGATCAGCAGGTGTTTATCGATACATGGCGTTGTTGTGCATCTTCGCATTGGATTCCTTTTGTTTAAGCAAATAATGGTGATTTGCGGGAATATTCTGACCAGAGACAACTACGAGCACTTTGTTTTGACTTGTGCGCACAAAAATGATTGCTTCGTGGAGATGGAACTCGAGCGGTGGCGGGAATTCATCCTGCACATCAAGGAGCACCTACGAGAAACGCATCCGGAAACGCAGGAGTTTGCTGCTTCCGGATACATTTCGACCACCGAAAGTGATTGCAGTGTTGCGCCAGCAAAGGTGTTCATAATCGAGCAGCCTCAAGAGGATTGCCTGGCCGAGGACATGTTCGTTGACCTGCCCGCTTCCTCCGAGGACGAAGACGCCAGTGAGGAGGAGGATGAGGACGAGGTGGACTGCTCCTCCATGGCAGTTGACTGTGAACTGGGCAGCCACGACTCCACAAACTTTGCTCCCCTTTCCAAAGTAAGCCACTGCGATTACCAAAAACAAAAACCACCAATTCAATCAGATATTTGCGCTTCTGCAGTTCAATCCAACGTTTTATCGACGCAGTCCACGGATCACACAGTTCATCGAGCTGTACAAGCAGCACACCTGCCTCTGGGACCCGGCTGATGAGTCATACAAGAACAAAGAGATGCGCACAGCTGCCTACGAGGAGATGCTGGACCAATTGAAGGCCTCTGTGAACCTTCACCTTACGGCGTACAAGCTGAAGAAGTGCATCGCAAGTCTGCACGCCCAGTATGCCGCGGTTTCGCGGCAAATGAAGACCCAGAAACTGACCAAGGTTCCACTGTACTACCACGGGAAATACGGCTTTTTGGCCGAGCGCGGAAGTGTGGAGGATGCAGAGAGCGATGAGGACGACGGCGATGGCAAAATAAAGGTGGGTTCGATTGAAGCACCTGTCTTCTTTACAGCTCTAATGTTTGCCTCTTCGGCAGCTGGTGTTCACGGAGGAGAATCGACTGACCACTCTGTTCATTGACCTATACTCCAAGTTCCCCCAACTGTACGATCCGGCGCACAAGCACTTCTGCAATCTAAGTGAACGCAAGTCGTCGCTCATGGAGATCACAGACCTGCTGACTGCGGATTTTTCGGTGGGTCTGATAACCCTTTATGATGTGTACGACGGTATTCAGAGCATGCGCCAATGGTATTCGCGACGGATTAAAACCCTCACCGACGTGCAATCGGTGGGACTTTCGCTGGCCGAGAAGCGTTACATTGAGCGATGCAACAGTTTTATGCCCACCAAAACATTCCGCCAAAAGCTCAAATGTGAAGTTTGCGATAATGCCTTCAGCACGGATCACGCCCTGCAGGCCCATCAGTTCCGGGAACATAAGATGGGCGAGGGTGGCTGGTTTCGCTGCACGCTGTGTGAACTGAATTTCGACCGAAGGTGCCACCTGCATCAGCACATACAGCGGGTGCACATGAGCAAGACGTTCGTCTGCGACATCTGCAGCCGGAGCTTTGCCTTTGGCAACCAACTAGCCATCCACAAGCGCACCCACGACGAGAAGCACGTGGCTAAGCCTTACGTCTGCGAGTTTTGTGGCAAGTCATTCAAGCAAAAAATTCAAATGACCACCCACGTGACGGCGGTGCACACCAAGATCCGGGCCTTCAAGTGCGACATGTGCCCCAAGGACTTCCTGACCAAGCGCGACCTTAAGGACCACGTGAAGGCCCACCTCAACATCCGCGACAAGGTGTGCGAGGTCTGCCAGAAGACCTTTACCAATGCCAACGCCCTGGTAAAACACCGGCACATTCACAAGGAGAAGACGCTGCAGTGCACCCTCTGCACGACGCGATTTTCGGAGCGGGTTAGTTTGGGCGTCCACATGCGGCGCACCCACAAAATCATTAAGAGCACTCTAAAGGTGGCGGAGACGGCGAGCGACGCTCTTTTTGCACAATCATTCCCTAAGCCCCAAGACATTTCCAAAAAATAAAAGTTATTTACAATTAAGTTTTAAAGGTATTATAGAAAATATGACTATTATAAAAAAAAGTGATTGATTTTTAATTTGTGTTATGGCGTTTAATTATTAATTGAAGTAAATATGGAGACAATGCATAAAAAAATTGAAGTACGAGATACTTGTGAACAAAAGATTTGTAACCAAATTCTTTTCGTTTCCCTTGTTCAAAACATGGGAACGTTTTTTTCCTCTTGTGCTGAAAAATTCGTGGTGGATTTTGTGATCTTTTAAATATTACAATCTTGTTATCGTGTTATTGATTTCTTCTGCCCAAAAAAAAATCCTGGAGTGAAAACTAAAGCGAACGTTTAACGAACGCAGTCTTCGAGTTTTAATATAGTTGGACTTATGGAGAACTAACTAATTGAAATATAGACCACTAGCCCTACTCCTACTTGTTTGAGTTCTGGATGGTCGAATTACGGACTGTATTGGCAGAAAAATGGTAAGCTCAGATAAAAAATTGAAAGGCTTATGATTTATTTATTAAGGAGTATGTAAATCATAATTCGCTTTAAATGCCTTTAAAGTAGTAGTAACAGTCTACCGGTGAGCAATTTGGCCCGCCAAAGTACAGGAACGGCAGCAGGAATTTTTGAAGTATGGGTTGTTACAGTGGAAGTTCTGGACGACCATATGGCAGTTGGAAAAAAATGGTATATCAGTACAACCCAGAGGCACCTGTACCTCAGCTGCAAAAATATTACGTCATTTAGTAATCAATCCCAAGTTAATAAGATGTTACTCACAGGGAATAAAAACATTAGCTTCGTCACTAGCCTGAGTGAACCCATTATTGGCTGTGCAGATGTAGTTTCCCGAATCGTCAGGGGTCACAGATCTCAGTACCAGACTATTTGGCTCGGCTGTTGAAGAAAAAGGAAGGTGCATTATTATTTTTGTAAAATACCAACTCAAAATGTTAAATATCACCACTTACAATTAATTTGAACCCGCTCACTGTGGTAAAGAGCCACGTCGTCCTTGGTCCAGGTCACATTGGGTTTTGGATAGCCTTGTACGGAGCAGGTCATGGAAATGGTAGATCCGCTTGTGTAGCTATTCTTCCAGTCCAACTTCAATACGGCTTGGACATCAACTGTGAATCAGACCAAGGATCTAAAGTTATTTTCTGCATTTCCCTCTTAAAAATTAACTTGATACTATTAATCTCTATAAGCAAATGAAGTAGTGGAATAGTGGACTTATATAGAATGTTTTGGTAATACTACCTCTAGAAACTAATAACTTTACTAGCCTTTTCTACAACCGGATCATAATTACTCCGAAACGCTTAACAAAAATTAAGATTTTTTTACAACGAGCGGCTTTTTGATTCCCAAAACCCGGGAAGATTTCTGTTAAACTCTAGGTAATACACTTACCCAATTCGGGAACATTCCTGCATTGTTTCTCACACTTTTCGCGCGTCTCAAAGCGGTTTCCGTTTCCGCCGCAGCCGCTGTAGGTGAACATTGTGCAGACCTTAAATTTCTTGTCGTAGAACCAGGCACTAATGTGATCGTCGCATCCGCCCGACTCCAGAGGCGCATTGCACTGGGAATAGATCTGCAGAGAGATATTTAAAAAAACGTGCTTTATAAAAATATACCTCTTTTACCGGTGCTGGAGGAGGTAACTCAGGAAGTTCCACTTCTTTTTGACTCCGGCAGATGCCGAGGCACTCGTTCTCCGACTGGAAGTTGTTGCGATTACCGCGGCATCCGGTGTACTCAAACTCGTGGCATCCACCGCTGCGCTCATCGAAGAACCAGCGCCTGGAGAGGTCACTGCATCGTCCTTGGACAGGTGGCAGTCCACAGGCGGTCTGGGCATCATGGCATTCGTGTTGGCACTCCTCCTCGCTGGCGTAGTTGTTGGCATTGCCGCCACAGCCCGTGTAGACGAACTCGTCGCAGAGTCCCAGTTGGCTGTTGTAGTACCAGCGGATCTCGTCCTCGAAGCAGTTGCCCGGCTCGGATGCCAGGAAGCACTTAGAGGTGTCGGAGGAGTAGGGACGATTTTCGGGCAGCTGTTCCTGATGTTCCTCCACCGCTCTGTGTTCGCAGCGGGCTGAGCATTCCTCTTCGGACCCAAAGCGGTTGTCATTGCCCCCGCATCCGCCATAGTAGAACTGCTGGCAGCGACCCTCTGTAGAATTGTAGTGCCATTTCAGGCCCCATTCCGCGCACTCACCTGCATCAGCAGGCTGTTCACACAGGTCTACAGCTGGAGATACTTCTGGAGTTGGAGTAGGAACTTCTAGATTGGTGATGGTGGTGACAAAGTAGTTGGGACTACTTTCCGGCAGCGGTTCCTGTTGCTCCTCCACGGCTCTTTGTGCGCAGCGGGTTGAGCATTCCTCCTCGGATTCAAAGCGGTTATCGTTGCCCCCGCATCCTCCATAGTAGAATTGTTTACAGCGACCCTCTGTTGAATTGTAGTTCCACTTCAGGCTCCATTTCCCGCATTCCCCTGCATCGGCAGGCTGTTCACACTGGTCCACAGCTGGAGTTGGTGTAGGGGGTGTTGGTTTGAGACTGGAGGTGTCCGACGAGTTGGGATTAATTGCCGGTAGCGGTTCATGTTTCGGTAGCTCCTCCACAGCTCCCTGTTCGCAGCGGGATGAGCACTCCTCCTCGGATGCAAAGCGGTTATCATTGCCCCCGCATCCGCCATAGTAGAACTGCTGGCAGCGACCCTCTGTGGCATTGAAGCTCCACTTTAGGTCCCATTCCGCGCATTCACCTGCATCAGTAGGCTGTTCACACTGGTCCACAGTTGGAAATACATCTGGAGTTGGAGTAGGAACTTCTAGATTGGTGATGGTGGTGTCGAAGTAGTCGGGACTACTTTCCGGCAGCGGTTCCTGTTGCTGTTGCTCCTCCACAGCTCCCTGTTCGCAGCGGGACGAGCATTCCTCCTCGGATTCAAAGCGATTATCATTGCCTCCGCATCCTCCATAGTAGAATTGTTTACAGCTACCCTCTGTGGAATTGAAGCTCCACTTCAGGACCCATTCACTGCATTCCCCTGCAGCGGCAGGCTGTTCACACTGGTCCAAAGATGGAGTAGGGAGTGCCAGGTTGGGTCGGGAAGTGTTCAGGATATTTGGGTTACAGTGCATCAAACAGGACTCCACAGTAGCAAAGCGGTTTCCATTGCCACCGCAACCGCCGTAGTAAAATGGGGCACACGTCTGAGTCTCGGCGTGATAGTAGTAGTGGATCACATAGTTGGAGCAATTACCCGTTTCGGAATTCAGCTCACACATATTCTTACTCCATTCAGGAGATCCTTCGGTAGGGCTATCCTTCTTGTCCAGATAGGAGCATTCACCCAAGCATTCCTGCTGGTATGTGGGTTTCGATGCCGGGTCGCACATGTAGTCCTCTTGTGGAGTCATCGTCTGGCTATTGAACTGCTCGCAGATTACGAGGCGGGTCTGAATACCCTTTCCACAGGTAGCGGAGCAAGTGCTCCAACCAGAGGAAAACCACTTGGTCTGGACCTTCAGCGAGCTGCAAGGACGGGAGAGTTCTGGGACTGCCAACTGACAGAGCTCGTGCGGATACACCTTTCCGTCCTTATCAGCGCATATCGCCGTCCGGGTCTCGGTTTCCTGATCGCATGCTTCGCACTGCAAGATGATAACAAGTATATATTATATATATGGGGGCTATTGAGTGGCAGATACCCACCTCGCTCCACTCAGAGAGAAGCCAATCAAGATCCTCTGGGTACCTTCTACCATCCAACTGAAAATACTGTGGCGAATCCATGTCTGTTATATTTGTTATACTCTGCAGTGGACCAAGTTGATCCAAATTTTGAAGTACCCGGTCCTCATAGGAATCACGGATGCCTGCCAGCACAATAAGTGCCGCTATGGCAGTGGAGCTAATCAAATAATTAATAACAATAAAAGAACCCATAATTGTTATATGCTTTAAAAAACTTACCAAAAGCGTCCGGATAAATCCATTTGGAGGATATTTTTTGCTCTAACTTACACCTGAATTAACCGACAATTTTAAGTTTCAGTGCTGTTTAAAATTAGGTTCCAATGGAACAAAGCACCTTTTGGTTTTAAGAGCCCGCTGACAACTGCGAAGATCCCCAAATTTGTGTAGTCTTATTAGCATCAAGAAATTCACTGGAAATGTTATAAAACCAGCAAAAACAATGCAGGAGGTGATAAACTATAGCCTAGCATTTTTGGTTACTTTTAATTTTAATTCGAGAGAGATAAGATTTTCTTATATATAAATCACGTATTAAGTAGGTCTCCGCAAAAGTATAAGCTTAAACATATGTATGTATTTATATAGTTGTCTGAGATTTCTTTCGTGTTTCTAAACCCTCATTAATTTAATCTCAAAACATTTTTCTCGGTAACCTATCTCGCATTTCACCATTAAGTTCGGGAAATAGGGTCCAGTGTCTTAGATAAAGAACTTAAAGGAGGTGAGATGGTTTATCTTATAACTAAATCATATAGTTCAATGCTACTATATACATAGATCTGAGGCAAACCGTAAATAAATCAGAATACTGAAATTTTTTGACTTCTTCGATGTCAAACAGCGGTGTCGATAAAAAGAATTTTATTTTTTTTTCGACAAGCCTTTGCACTCTACAAAAAATCACTCTCAAAACCGTTTTCTCGATCTTAAAAGTGAGTCAAAATCGTTTCAATCTCCATTTCTTATATCGAAATAAATGTACCATTCTACTTAAAAATCGCACCTTCCAGAAAAACAAACTTAAAAGCACATTCGTCTTAATTTGAGAATAAGACTATAAAATTTAAAGCATTTGATCTGTTTTTGTAATGTTAAAATGCTATGAACACATGGATAATTTATTTTTTTTATAAACTAAAATTGGGAATATTTCAGTACGGAAAATAAATATAACATAATATAAAAAACTATCATTTGTTTACGATATTTCTGAACTGTTAAATTGGGGGATTAATATTGTACCACGAGCATTTGGGGTACGTAAAATTTTCGATTGATTGATTTTTTTAAAAGTCAAATAAAATTCCAATTCTCCCGGCTTATCAACATTCTAAAAATTTTGGTGCTTTTTAACACTGGCGAAGCAGCTGTTCTTGTTTTGGTTGTTACGTGCTCTGCTCTGCAGCCGGATTGCGGATCTTCACGGGAGCGATGAGTGGACTGCTGCCAAAGTTGTGGCGTCAATGTGACGCAGGGTTCCTGCACCGGATCAACCAGGCACTGATCGGCGCCGGGGCCAAGCCAAACCGCTGGAGGGGGGCTCGTCTACTGGCCACCAGTGCGGTTAAAAATCCGGCAACCGGACTGCGCGAGTTGCCGCACTGCAATGTGGGCACTATTGGGCACGTGGACCACGGCAAAACCACCCTGACCGCCGCCATCACCAGGATCCAGTCCCAGAAGGGGCTGGCGGAGTACCTCTCCTACGACCAGATCGATCGGGCGCCCGAGGAAAAGGCACGCGGCATAACCATAAATGCCTGCCACATTGGCTATGCCACCACAGAGCGCACCTACGCCCACACGGACTGCCCGGGTCATGCGGACTACATAAAGGTGAGGAGTCTTGAAGCACATCTTTTTAATCAACTTATCTAACGCCTCTCTTGAGAACCGCAGAACATGATCTCGGGCGCCTCCCAAATGGATGGCGCCATCCTGGTGGTGGCCGCCACCGATGGCCAGATGCCGCAGACGCGCGAGCACCTGTTGCTAGCCAAACAAGTGGGCATACAGCGCATTATAGTGTTCATAAACAAGGCCGATTTGGTGGACCAAGAGGTGCTGGAACTGGTTGAAATCGAGATGCGAGAGATGTTGAGCGATTTTGGTTTTGATGGAGTTAATAGCCCCGTAATTTGTGGTTCTGCTTTGCTGGCTCTTCGTGAGGACAAGTCCGAATTTGGCGTTCCGTCCATTGAGAAGCTACTGGAGCACTGCGATACCTACATACCAACGCCTCAACGCGATATCGCCTCACCATTCATCCTGCCTATTGACAATGCTTTTACGGTCCCCGGAAGAGGAACCGTGGTCGTGGGCACCATCAAAAGAGGTACCATTCCCCGGAATGCGGATGCCGATCTGCTGGGCTTCAATCAGAACCTGAAGACGAGCATCAGCGACATCCAGATCTTCCGGAAGAGCGTGCCCCAGGCGCAGGCCGGCGAGAATGTGGGCGCCCTGCTGCGAGGCATCAAGATATCCGCCGTGGAGCGGGGCATGCTGCTGTGTGCAACAGGTTCCGAGGATATTTCCAACCACTTTGAGGGCTCCATGTACCTGTTATCGCGCGCCGAGGGCGGACGTGTGAAGCCCATGCTCTCCAAATACATTCAACAGCTCTTCAGCCAGACGTGGAATGTTCCGGCTCGTATTGACATAGGTAAGATGCCCTATGTTATGAAGTCTAGATAAAATACTCATAAAAACTCATTTCAATCCAGTTCCAAGTGAAGCAATGCTGATGCCCGGGGAGCATGGCCAAGTGCGGGTCACCCTGCTGCGGAAAATGGTCATGACGCCGGGTCAAGCTTTCACGATTCGCGAAAACGGAGCCACTGTGGCCACCGGAATGGTCACGCAGCGCCTGCCCTCCCTTGACCTGCCCAAGAACAAGTTATCAAAAGTGCTGGTGGATTGTTAACGACTCGCAATTATATTTGTAAAAATTCATAATGCTGATCCTTATACATGTGTACTTGTATTGTTAATATATATTTATGTGTTTAGGTAAATTGCTTAGAATGTTTCAAACAAATGCCAACGTATTTTAGGTTTGCTAATCTGTTTAATAGTCTTCTGACATGGCCGAGAAACACAAATAACAAGTTACAAGCTACACAGAAAATGAGAATACATAAATAGATGGAATTCAACAGCAATGCTTCGGTGTTCTCTATGAGTCTTAGTCTATCATCTGTAGTTTCGGTGTTACAAGCTTTTCTTTAAGGCAACAAATCGGCCTGGTTAAGTACATTCATTGTATGTATATATATATATATATATTTATTTACGTTCTAAGGTACAAGGTTCAGGCAAGGAATGCTCTTTTTATGGTCGGAGTCTAACTCCCGGCTCTTATTGCGTTTCACATTTAAAGGTTGGTTCTTAACCTTCCATTGCTTTTGCTACAAATAGTTCGTACAACAAAAAACTAAACTTGGCAACATGGGACGGGTGCCGTCGGAGACTCAAAATGGATACAAAAGGAATGCAAACAGGGGGATAATTTAAACTAAACAGGAACTACACGGATTTCGGCAAAACTGCTCTAAGCATCGTTTCATTATCTAATAGATTTTCTAAATATAAGAACATTACTAATTTCTACAATCGTTATACTCATATAATACACAAAAAGAAAGCGGTGTGTCATGTCATCATAAATGGCAACGTTTTCGACCGACATTGGGCTATCCCACAACGCTCATATCTTTGTGAGAAACTCATCCAGGTTAAGATGTGACGGCAGATCAATATCCTCCAGCTTGATGTCGCTGTACCTGAAGACCACCTTGAAGGGTTGAATGAACTTCTGGTCGATGGTAAATTCGTCGCTATTGCTCTTTTGCTGTAAGATAAAATCGCCGAGTTAGGGGAACTTAAATTCAAAATGTCTCTTAAACATACCATTTGTCGGGCATTCAGTTCCTTGGTCAGTTTTTCCAAAAACACGTTCGTTATTTCACTCTCGTAGTCATCCAGCTTATAGGACTTCATCACCTTAAGAACCTGTGCCGTGCTCAGCGAAGTACACAGATCGCAGATGGTCTGAACATCCTGCTCGCTTTTCCGGGACTGCAGCAGCTGGGATACCTGATTCAGAGGCGCCAACGGTGCCAGCACATCGTTCGACTGAAAAATCCGAAACATGTTATTCTAGAAACATTGTTGTAAAGAGAGCTTGACTTACCATCTTCTTGCTGCGCACCCAATCCTCGATGCAGCCGATGTTATAGCGGATTATCATGCCCGTCTCCCACATGCAAATGTCACCCCTCAGCATCAGGCAATTAAGAGCCACAGCGCACACAAAGTAAAGTAATTGATGGAATATCTGCTCGGCATAGCAGTTGTCCAAGCCAAAGTGCTGGAACTGCTTATAGAAATGCTCCAGCTGACCGATCAGTTGCTTCCAGGCCGGACCACCTCCGTGCTCCGGCGACGAGGATGCTCCAATAGACGGGGCCCGACTGCGCATCCCTTGCGCCTGCCGTCCTCGCTGTATCTCATCGTTGTTGAGTATCGCTGGCACTATTTTTGGGTCCAACAGACCCTGAATCTGCATGATCAGCGCCTGGTACAGATTCACTATTAGATCAAGAATCACACGACGGTACTCAAACAGATTAAAGTTCTTCAGCTGCTGTTGATTCTGCTTCTCAGTATTGAACTTAACGTACTCCTCCACATCGCCGTATTGCTTTAATAGATTCAGCAGTCTAAATGGGAAAAAGGGAGTTTTGTAATTTGTTTTTTGGTTCGCAGAATTTTGGAAGACTTACGTTATGGAGTTGACAAGCCAAATAACGCGGTTCTCAATGGGATGTGGCGTGCGGTGCATTTTCTTGATCTGAATCACGAACTTGCTTAGCAGCTCGCGCACATCATCGTCGGCATTGGTCAGATCGGTGTAGCTGGTAACGAAAATATGTCAAATTAGTAAGGATTAACAATTTGTATTGATAACCCACCGAATACACATAAAGATGAGATAGGCTGGGAAACCAGGTAAGAGACCGACCACTGTGCGTGGAGTCAAGGCGCTCAGCAGGCGCTGCAGGATCTTGTCCAGATCGCTGCTGTGGAACTT